TTAATCTGGTGATCGTTCTTTGTACAATATCATATTACTACCCATCATGACCCAGGACCTCCATGCAGTCAGTGTGCTTCATGAGGTCGCTTCATTCAGGACCTCCATGACGGTCCGGACGCGGTGTGCTCACCCGAACGCCCTCGGTGAGTCGCTTCAACTGTCCCAGGAGTCGCTTCAGCACCCGGCGGTGCGCGCCCGACGCGGCCAGTTGCAAGGCGCGCAAGGTCTCATCAACAGTGGAGGGGAGCAACTCCTCAACGACATCGCAGTGGCCCCCTTGAGCAGCCAGGTCCAGTGGTGTCGTCCCCGCTTGTGAAGCAACGGAGGGAAGTGCTTTCCTCGCCAGGAGCAAGCATACTAGATTGTGATGGCCAGCATGTGCCGCGTCATGTAGTGGAGAAAAGCCGAGGTGATCACTCACACATTCAGCACCTGCATCCAACAGCATTGTAGCGATCTCTGTGTGGCCAGAACGAGCAGCACTGTGCAATGGTGTTGCACCACCTACTGCAGGGTGTGAGGGGTCTGCACCAGCAGCCAATAAAATGGACACAGCTTTCGATTGGCCCATGCTAGTGGCAACATGCAAGGCTGTGAAGCCATCTGATGTGGCAACGTCCAGTTGGGGCACCTGCGTGAGCAATGCCGTTAACGACTCGACCTCTCCCAGCTCTGCTGCAATGTGGAAGGAGGTCACCCCGAGGACAGTGTTTTCCTCAAGGGGATTGGATCTATCTGGATTCCTCTCCATCACTAAGCTTGCTTTTGCTTCTATTTGGATTGTCTCAGCTTCATGCTCATCCATTTCAGCCTCCACGCTGATGGTACTCTGCTCTTGGTGGTGGGGTGGATCTGAATCTTGAATTGCAACTCTCGTCCTCTCGTTGCATTCTTCGACAAACTTGGGGGTCATGTTGCAAGACCCTGTTCCAAGCTGCATTTGTGAGATGCTGCCATTCTCCTCCTTTTCTACATTCACCACAACTTCAGCACACACGCTGAGTTTGTCATCAATGTTCTCGTGCTCGCTCGCATACTCGTCACTGGGGCAGAAGAGGAGGTTAGCATCGTTTTCATGCATCTTAACTTCAATGACAACATCCGCAGCCAAGGAAAAGTCTTCAGCATCTGGCGTGGAGGTCTTGCGGGGCAGCAAAGACCTGCTGATGCAGGGGTCTACTGAATTGGCTGCCTCGAGATCTGCCTCGAAGTAATCCA